ACTGCGAACCAGCTCTCTAAAAATCAAAGCCCCAGGGGCGCCTCAGTTCAGCGGCTGCCTTCAGCTCAGGTCATGATCCCAGGGTCCTGCGATCGAGCCCCACGTCGGGCTCCTTCCTCAGCGGGGAGCCTGCTTCTCCCTCTCCCTCTGCCTGCCACTCCACCTGCTTGCGCTCTCCCTCTCTCTGTCTCTATCAAATAAATAAATAAAATCTTAAAAAAATAAAAATAAAAATCAAAGCCCCAATTTGTAGTGTTTGTTGATTCCTGTGATGTAAATACTACCACCGTGGCTCGTGTCAGGCTACCGGTGGTTTTAAAACTGGCCTGCCAAATTCCGTTCTCACTGCCCTGTGAGCTGGCTCCAGCCCACCACTGCCTATGGCTTAGGCACTAAGTCAGTGACAAGGTGAATCAGTCAGGCAGGCGGCCGCATCAACACTAGGGAGCCCACAAAAGATAATGAAAATGACAAAACGCAGAAGGAAATGTGTGAGAGTAAAATACTGCACTAGAGGTATTGCCTCATTTTAAATTCTGATTTTCCAAGGCACCGAGACATCAAATCAAAGAAATCAAACCCATGACCTTAGTTAGAATCCAGTTTCCCTGAGAGTAATTCAAATGTCCCTTATTTCCAGACAGGCCTTCCTTGTGCTTCCCTTCCCCCCAATGTCTTCTGCTATGGCATTATTTGGGAAATTGTCAGAAGCTTGCCAAATAGGAGCTGGAGAGTGAGATTTTTACCTGTCCTGACCCACCTTGCCTTAGATTCCCCCTTCCTGGCTTCCCTCCCACCTCATCATTGATGTGCCTTCAAGTCCCCTCCTGTGATTGTATCACCCCTCCCTTTAGTCAAGAAGGGAATCTAATTCATCCTCACAAGTTACTCTACCTCTAACTGACATGATTTTCTGGCCAACGACTAGCCAGGTGACACAAAGGTGCATTTTTCCCAGTTCTAACTGCTTTCATCAATCCCATTCGAATCCATTAAGGCGAGCAGCTTCCCAAACTGGAAAAAAACAACTCCAAGTCAGCAGAATTTAAAGCAAGCATACCTCAGACTCCTGCATCCTGTCCACAGACATCAGGCTGGCCGCCTTTGGACACAGTTTGCATCAACAAGAGTCTTTCCTTAAGAGTTAGTTTCCCTGGTGTTTCAATGTTATTGCATTCGAGAGCACCGTGTCTTTCTCGGAGCCTCAATCTCTGGCCTTTTGTGTTTCCTGGTGCTGGGGAGGTTGGCACCCCACGCCCCCCTCCTTTTGTGAATGTAAAGAGTTCTCTCTTGCCTCCTGCACCTGCCTCCCAAAGGTGAGTCTTTCTTTCTCTGAACCTATGAACAACCCAGATAGTCATAATGTCCCCTTAGACGTCAGAGATCTCTGTAGTGTGGATTGAGTACACACAAATGAGCACATACGCTATTTCAATCTAGAGATTTTTAACTATGTTATGCCTGTAGAAATCAGTCTATAGGAGCACCTGGGTGGCTCAATAGGAAGAGCATGTGAGTCTTGATCTCCAAGGTCATGAGTTCAAGCCCCATGTGAGCTGTAGAGATTACTAAATTAATAAATAAATAAACTTTAAAAAATCAATCTATAAAATCCCAACATCAGTCACTGGGGAGCAGAGATTAGCCCAAGAACCCTTCGACTAAGAGTGAGAGTGGTCATTTACAGCATTTACAAAAGATCTTAGAAATGAGGAAAGTCTCATTGGTCACTTCCAGGTAATGGTGGCAGCTTGCTGTCACAATCCCACTACCGCATGAGTAAAGGCATTTTCATAAGCCATAAGCCCCGAGGAGTGAGGGCACTTGAGAGGGAGACAACACCAACAAGGTTGGAGGTGGGAGGCCAACGGACTGGTGGTAAGGAAGAGAGAAGTGAAGCTTCGAAAGGCTGAAATGTTGACCAGGAGAAGGGAATCTGGGAACTGATCCCCCAAAGCCTCAGGAACTGGAGGCCTTAGTCACCTCTAAAAGGGGAAGCGATGGGGAGAAGGGCTTAAAATAAGAATTGGTCAAACATCTGTCTGAGAGGCAGGCAGAACCCTAGATTCCCCCCTTCTCTCTGCTCGGCCAGGCAACCACGCCCCCCACGCCCTGGCAGAGCCTGCAGGTGATGGTGGATTGCAGGGGTGAGAGGACAGGGAGCACCGGCATTGCCCTGCACTTGGTCAGCGCTGGGGTGGGTAGAAGTGAATCTCATGTCTTCATTGGATGCTGAGACCCATAACCATCGCTCCTCTACCAGAACCCAGTCTCTCGAATGTTAGAAAGCAGGCTTTCACTGTCCCTCTGGGCAGGTGATAAGGGTCATTAGTGGGGAAATTTACCAACCCAGTGGAAGCGAAACAGTATCACAGTATCACAGTTGACAAACCCCACTCATGTGCTCAGAGCTTCCCATCAGATTTCTAATTTCCTACCGCCCCACTTTGCAATCTGAGTTGATAAGGAAGGATTGCCAGACAAGGTAGGAAATCCTCTAATTTGGAAGATAAAGAATGTATTAAGCTTCTTCAGAGAAACAGAACCAATAGTATGGATAGATAGATGATAAATAGATACACAGACAGATGGATAGGTTTTAAGGAGTTGACTCATATAATTGGGCTGGCAAGTCAGCTATTTATGGGGCAGGCCAGGAGGCTGGAAATTCAGGTAAGAATTGATTTTGTAGTCTTGAATTTGAAATTGCAGAGCAGGCCAGCAGGCTGGAAACTCAGGCAAAATTTCTATGTTGCTGCAGAATTCCTCCTTCTTAAGGCCAGCAAACGAATAAATAAGGTCCACCTATATCATGGAGGGTAATCTGCTTTGCTTCAAGTCAGCTGATTGTAAGTGTTAATCACATCCACAGATACCCTCACAGGATCATCTGGACTGGTGTTTGTCCAACAGTTGGACACCGTAGCCTGAAAATTGACACATAAAATTCACCATCGCAGAGACCAAAGCAAAGTAACAGAGCCAAAACTACCTGGAGAAAACTATGCAGGGAGAAAACTTCATAAAAATATTAATATCCTCAGAGAGATAAGAGAAGATATTGTAACCACAAAACATGAGCAGGGTGCTATTTTTTAAACACACACAAACACGAAAACTTAGTGAATAAAAAAGAGCCCTTGGAAAATGACAACATAAATGAAAACCTCAATAAAAGTTTCAGAAGATAAGAATCTCAGAAAGTACAGAAAAAATACCCATGGAGATGTAATATAAGAAAAATAATTAGAGGAAAGTCCAGGAGATCTGAGACCAAATCATAAAACTTCCATAAAGACAGAACAGGGAAAACAAAGGAATGGAAATCATCAATGAAATAATTAAATTTCCCGAGAAAGTAAAAGGACAAGAATTTCCAGAGTGCCCAGTGCTGGCTGAAATAAGCCCACACTAAAGCATATCATGGTGAAATCTCAGAAAACTGGGGGCCAAAAGAAGATCCTCCACATTGTTGGAGAGGAAAAGAAACCAGGTCAAGTACAAACTTGAACTAAAAGGCCTTGGATTTCCCAAAGGCCACATGGAAGGTACTGCTCAGAATTCTGGACACAACCTACCAAAGAGGGGGTAAGGGTGAAGTAAAGACACATCCAGCTATGCAGGGTCTCACAACATCGACCTGCAAACCCTTTCTCAGAAAGCTACTGTAGAATGGATCCTAAGGAAATAGAGAGTAAGCCAAGAAATTAGGAAGATAGGGGATACCAAAAACACTAGATCCAGCCCAGGAGAGCAGAGAGGGCAATCCCAGGGACAGTAGCCCCACAGCAGGACGAGAGTGCACTACTCAGGGTAGATCCAGTCAGAAAGCCTTAGAGGCAAGATTTCTCTCAGGTATGAAAATATAGAACACCAGGCAAAACAGCAACACCCAGAGAGACCTAGTCCATGAAGAGTTCGGTGCTTAATCAATAATATGTACAGTTGACCCTTGAAGAATGTGGGGGTTAAGGATGCCGACCCCCTGCACAGTCGAAAATCTGTGTATACCTTTTGACTCCCCAAAACTTAACACCCGAATATAGCGCACTATTGACCAGAGGCATTACTGATAACATAAATAGTCGATTAACACATGTTCTGTATGTTCTACGTATTATGTACTATATTCTTACAATAAAGCTAGAGAAAAGAAAATGTTATTAAGAAAATCATAGGGAAGAGAAAATACATTTACAGTATCGAACTGTAATAGGAATTCCTTTAATAGGAAAAGGAATTTAAAATTTTTTTAAAGTAGGGCAAAAGAAAACCCTTACTCCTTATTCATCCCTTCCATCTCTGAGAGGTAAATAATGCCATTGTCCTCTTACCTACTCCGATACTTAACCCTACCTACTCTGATACTTAATATTCTTTGCAGTAAGGATGCTACTACCTGGTTCCTCACAATGGGTTCATGAGTAGAGAAAGTTGACAAAGATGTGAAAATCAGGATCCAAATACAGGAGCTGGGTGAAGGCTGGGATTCTTCCATTTCCCTGTGCATCTGTCAAACTGAGGCTCATTTGAGTTGATATATATCCGCATTTTACCTGTCCTCCCCTCTCTTCCTCTCCAGGCGGGAATTGAGGTTCTCAGCTAAGGAGAGAAAGGGCATGGGGGTGAGAGGGGATTCAGAAGAGAAACTAACGTGGTACCTATGGTAAACTGCTCCTCCCTGGGACCATCCTGCCTTTTAGGTAGGAATGTGCTGGGGAAAGCATCTTCTCCCCATCTTGGCCTCTGCTCTTGGAGTCTGTTCCTTGGGTGTCTCTTACCAGTCTCACTCGCATTTAGGCAGGTGGTTAATTAGGTGCATTTTGGTGGACTAGCGGGGGATCCAAACCATTACTCGGCATCTTTGTGGCAAATGTGTCCCAAGTTCAAAATAACCAATTTGATAATCATCTTTGGAATCTGGGCCCTGCCAAAGATTTGGTTTAGGAGGAATCAGGAGGGCACGTGATGGCCAAGTCCCTGAACTCCGAGCATTGCCAATGGCACTGTGGCTCATGAGGACCTCTGTCTCCCTAGGCTATCAGTGTACCTGTCTCTCACAGTTCACCGGGAGAAACTGTGAGTCGGAGATCACAGCTTGCTTCCCAAACCCCTGCCAGAACGGAGGCTCCTGCGACCCAATAGGGAACACTTTCATCTGCAATTGCAAAGCTGGGCTCACTGGAGTCACGTAAGTGAGATTGTGCAACCAAGTCTTTCTCTCCTCTGCTTCTTGTTGCTAAGAAAGCGAAACAGTAAACAATTAATGGGGATAAAAGATTTACCACTAGTGGAACAGGAAAAGGATTAATATCTTTACAAAAAGAAGGCTTACAAATGACTTAAATGTTAACGGGGATCATCTCTGGGTAATGGGGTTATTGGTTATTTATACTTTTTTACTTTATTCTCTATATTTGCAAATTTTTACATAATTACTATGTGTTCTGTGGTTAGGAAAACAGTTCTTTTAAAGAAAATCATCTATGACCCCTAATATTTTCAGTATAATTTTGAGGCAGACATACTACCCGTTTCCCCAGAACTCATTAACTGGACTCTACCGCCTAACGTTTTATGATCATTCTGAGAAACTAAAACCTACCTTTCCTTTGCAAACCCTTTTCCCCCAAGAAATGAGGGAAATTAAAGTGTCAGCCAAATGGAAAGGGAATGTTTTAAGCTTTTAGTAAAATGCCACTTCCAACCATCCTTGATCATTTGAAAAGTATATATATGTAATCTCAAGCAAGTGATATTCTAATTACAGATCAGTCTTATGTATTCATTAAAGCAAATCTCCCGAGGACTTTACCAGGAAATACTTAGCGGACTTTGAATCGTTGGATGTAATTTAAAGTAATAAAGCTGCATTTTTTAAAAAATACTCTGTGATTCTAATTTCCGAATGACCTGGCCTCAATCTGTTCAAATTAGGGACGTTTGACTACATTTTAAAAGGTGCATTACCAAAGATATAAGTGATCGCGCCTTTTAAATGAACACATCAGAGCAATTGCTGAAGTAGAGAAAAGTGAAGGAGAAAGAAGGTCTATGTTCTCACGTAATGCTAAACTAAGAAAGAATAAGACTTAAATGTTTGCCTTATAATTATACTCAACGTGAGTCATGGATTGCTTTAAAGAGAATAAAATTGGTTTAATTATTTTTCATTAGAATGCTTTAATCATTCTTTCCTGATAGTCTGCATTAATATTAACCTTTATGGTAAGCACAGAATCTATAAAATATATATATCTTTAGCCCTCCACCTATCTGCTTACACACACACACACACACACACACACACACACTTCCCAGAGAGACCAAAAATTACAGGAACTGTTGAAGGAAAATGTCAGAACCAAAGAGTTCCTCCTCTCGGGAAAGCCTATATAAGGTATATAGGTTCACTGCTTTTTCTCTGCAATTCTCTAATCCCAGAAGCTCAGAGAACTAAAGGGCTTAAGGATAACTTAGTGGCAAACTAATTCGGTGGCAGAACCAGCCAAAACTGCTCTGAGACTATTTCTCGTCTTTATTTATCTGATTTAGTGTGAATATCCATGTGTTTTATTATAGAAGCACTGGTATAATTTGATTCTGGGGTCCTGTGGCAGCTCCAGCTTGAGCGGTAGGGCGGGTATGTTCCAGAAAAGGAAAGACGTGTACTGTATGATGTTTCTAAAATTGCAAAAATTTAAACCCTGAAATGCCTCTGGCCCCAAGGATTTGGAGACCAGTTCCTCTCCAACAGCATCTGCTCTTTCTCTTCCTGCTCCTTCTCTTCCCTCCCGCCAGTCTTTGCCTTACTCCCATCTGGAGGGGGTCAGACTATCTGGGAGCGATCCTGTTGGTTGCGAGAAGTACCTTAACTCACCGTGACAACTCGGGCCACCTGCCGAGGTGCCCACCCACCTCCTCCCGCCCCCAACACACACACACGCACTCACGCACGCCGTCATCTATCTTTGTCACGCTTCACATGCCCTTGGGGCGCTGTGTCTCCTCGACAAGAAGGCCACCATGAAGGGCGCTGCGGGGCCTGCTGTCTGAGAGGGGCTTTGTGTTTTGTCATGAAGGTGCGAGGAGGACGTCAACGAGTGCGAGCGGGAGGAGTGTGAGAACGGGGGCTCCTGCGTCAACGTGTTCGGCTCCTTCGTGTGCAACTGCACTCCGGGCTACGTGGGCCAGTACTGCGGGCTGCGCCCCGTGGTCGTGCCCAACATCCAGGCGGGCCACTCGTACGTGGGCAAGGAGGAGCTCATCGGCATCGCAGTGGTCCTCTTCGTCATCTTCATCCTGGTCATCCTCTTCATCGTCTTCCGCAAGAAGGTCTTCCGCAAGAAATACTCACGCAACAACATCACGCTGGTGCAGGACCCTGCCACCGCCACCCTGCTCAACAAGAGCAACGGCATCCCGTTCCGGAACCTGCGCGGCGGCGGGGACGGCCGCAACGTCTACCAGGAGGTGGGACCCCCGCAGGTGCCCGTGCGCCCCATGGCCTATACGCCGTGCTTCCAGAGTGACTCCAGGAGCAACCTGGATAAGATCGTGGATGGGCTGGGGGGCGAGCACCAGGAGATGACCACGTTCCACCCCGAGTCCCCACGCATCCTGACGGCCAGGCGCGGTGTGGTCGTGTGCAGCGTGGCTCCCAACCTGCCCGCCGTGTCGCCCTGCCGCTCGGACTGCGATTCCATCCGGAAGAATGGCTGGGACGCAGGAACCGACAGTGAGTAGGAGGCCACAGTGTGTCTGCTTGTGCCTTTACTGTCGCTGGGGAGCTGTGGTGTGCCTGGCACTGGGGAAGGAAATGGGGGAGAGGAGAGAGAAACGGCCTGGGCGGGGCACTCCTTGTGAAGTGTTCTGGCATTGAATGTCCAGAAAAATTGCTCTGGTTCTTATCCCCATTTACAGATGGGGAAAATGAGCCTCAGAGAGCATGCATCAGGTATCCAAGGTCACAGAGCTAGGAAGAGGCAGCAGAGCAGGTGGGCCAATCCAGAGCTGCCAGCTCTAAAAACACATGCTCTATTCACAACAGCACACCACTGGTCGCAATAAAAGCAGTGTGGTGACAGAAGTGATATACAGAAAGCTTGTTCTGGAAAGTCAGAAGAAGAGAGTATTTCTAGACCTAAGATGAAGACTTGAGAAGCGCAGAGGGACATTTGGGTTGGACCATGGTGGATTAAAGGTCTGGGGAAAGGCGGAGGGACCCACACAATTGGAAGACAAGCAAGCCATTCTGTTTGGCTGGAATGCAGGGTCCATGAAACAAGAGGGTGAAACTTAAGGCAGGAAAAGTCCAGTCCAGATAGTGGTATTTCCCTCTCCTTCAGGCCTCATGGGGCGGCATTCTAGCCAAAGAGCCACAGGTGCAAAGGCCCTGTGGTGGGAAAGACCTTGACATGTTGAAGAACAGAAGGGAGGTCAAGGTAGTTGGAGATTGGTGAGCAACAAGGGAAAGTGAATGCATTTTAATGGCAACATGAGTGCAGGTTTTGAAGCAGGAGAGTAGCATGATCAAATTTACATTTTCAAAAGATGGCTCTGACTGATCCATGGAGAACAGACTAAAAAGAACCAAAGAGGGAAAAAAGCAGAGCCCAGTTAGCTAGCTTCCATGAACAACTAATTGAGCAATGGTGATTGCTTTCCCTGTCCTAATGTGGGTCAGGATGAAACTAAGGCAAGCTCTGTGGTAACCTGTGACTTTCCATCAGGCCAAATGGCTTTATATTTCAGCAACAGAGATGCCCTGGTAGCAGGAGTTTCCAAAGGCTGGAGCTTTAGTACTATGATACGTGTTGGGGTAGAAGATCCGGGGGAAGCTGCTTTCAAATGGAGCTGGAAAGCATATGAGCAGAGGAGGTGAAGGGCATCTTTGTGGAGAAAGGGGGAATTCCTGCTGTGTCTTCAAGCATAAGTACAGTTTTGGTAGGAAACTGTTGGAGAGGGCCTTCCAGAAGCAGGAAGCAGCTTGATGAGGGTAGGGGGCACATGAGGGTTACCTGACAGGTTCTCTTGTTCAGGAGAAAGGGGAGGCTAGAGATGAAAGTTTGGACATCATCTGGATGCACAATGGTTGAATCTTGAGGGGCCGGGGGTGGGGGCGGGGATGAGCTCACTGAGGAGCAAGAATAAAGAGAGGATGGCCAGACTGGACCTCCAAAAGAACTGGGAGATGCATACATATGGGAGAGGCCAGGAATGGAAGCAAACAGTTGCCAACAAAAAGAGCAGGGACAGAGGACAGGGCAGCTATGCAGAAGCCAAGACTATTGCTAAGGTTAGCAGGTTTGAGTACTGTAAAACTGTCTGGAAGGATACAGGCTTAAAAAAACAAAACAAAACAAAACAAACAACAGTACTGTGCTTGACACCTAGAAGATTTTTGGTCATCTAGAGAGTGTTTCAGTGAGTCGTCAAGACAGAATCCAGAATGCAAACATTAAGGACAAAGAGATTTGGGGAGACAACTGAAGCAGCAGATGAATGTTTGCTGTATGTTGGATCTTCTTAAATCCTCCCGGCCGCCCACGTGAGCACCAAGTGGAGGAGCAGATGGGTGAGGTAGCCCCTTAAGAACAAGTAGCTAGTAGAAGGAGGGGTGAGGACTAGAACCTGGCCCGTCAGGGTCCACAGCCTCTGCTCTTACCAACACTGCTCTTGGGGGTTTTAGCAGGATGGAGGGAGAGGGAATCCTGATGACAGAGGAGAGTCTCTGTTCTTCTCTGGGGCCACCTCCACCATGCTCTGCCAAGTCTTTCTGTAGACACTCTTGTAAGTCATCGCCCTTGGATTTTCACCATAAATGCATTCCCTGTCCAATGACTTTACCAAAGCCTTGCCAATCCACCAGCTCTTAGAAAGGCTCTTTTTTTATTTAGCAATGATAAAAGAGAGGACCTAATAAATGAAGTGGAGAAAGGAGTTTTATGCACGGCTTTCACCGGGGTGGATCATTTGTTGTTTCCTTCCTAGTGTTCAGGGCTCAGCCCGGCCCTCACCTGGTGCTTTTCTGAGACACATCTTCATATTTGGGGCAGCGTGGCCATTGGGAGGTGAACTCCTCTCAGGCGTCTCTCTCTACCTAGATCAGTTGTTTATCCAGCTCATGGTCCCGCTGTGGCTTCGGCATCTGACAGCAGATGTAGAGCCACAGTGCCCAGTACTGACCTCACCCTTTGTGGAGGAAACAGTGATTTCCACCGTCACAAAGAGGAACACCTGTCCCCTTAATCACAAGTCCCCGTCTCTTCTCCCCATCATGTTACACGATGATTTGAAGCTTTTCCCGGTGATCCTTTTCCTCCACTTGCTTCATAATGTGACAGCTTAATTTCCAGAATCTACCTCAGGCCAAAACTCACATTTCCCCCCAAAGTATTGTTGTGTTTTTATTGAGTAGATTTCCTTCTTTGTTAAGCAAGGCAGAGTTAGCTGGCGAGACAATCTCTAGGCGACTCATTCATTTTTTTACTTGACAACTTCGAGATACGGCTTGTTTTTATTGCTTCCTTTAGTCCATCAAATAAGAAAATAGCCCTGGAGAGAGAGAGAGAGAGAGTGTGTGTGTGTGTGTGTGTGTGTGTGTTGTTCAGGCTGTCTTTGCATAGTCAAAAGGAGGAAGTGGGGAGACAAGAGCATGGCCACACCGCCGACTGCCCTCCTACCACACAGAGCTCTGAACACTGTCATTCCCAAAAATGGTGGGACGCTGCCCTCTAGAAGGCAAGGCGGAGAACTCCACTCGCTCCCCAGAGATGGAAGTTGGGATGAATGTAATGGCATTCTTGCCTATAAAATATTTATACCCCTATTTTATAAGTAATCTCATTTAACCTGGTGTTGACACCACGTCGGTTCATGTAAATGATTTAAATTAACTCTGAATGGCAAAGAGCAACCCAGCCACTTCATCCTGCCTTCACTCTTCACTTTGTCGCCTCACTTTGAGGAGGGAACAGCTCCTTTCGGCTGTCAGCTATCTGGAAGCTCATTTACCACGGGTTAAGGGTTTCAAATCCATAATGTAAATCACTTGATTGACAGACCTTTGCCCCCAGTGGTACAATCAATTTTCTATTGTGGAGCTAAATTATTTTCTCGAAGCAAATGAAAGCGTGCTGAGAAGTGAACTCTGGGGGTGGGAGGGCTAGGCATATGCACAAGGTAACCGGTGTCGTTTCTGCTTTCTCTCTGGCTGTCCACAAAGACAAAGGGATTGATGATCCCGGAGAAGTGACCTGCTTTGCAGGCAGTAATAAAGGCAGCAACTCTGAGGTTCAGTCCCTGAGCTCCTTCCAGTCGGATTCTGGCGATGACAATGGTAAGTACTCGGTAGCTGCGTTCCCCTGTGTGGGTTTTGCCTCCTGTGCTGGAAGTCCGTGGGTAGGGAGGAGGGTGATGTGACCAGTTCTGTTTCTGGGCCTGACTGTGGACTTTGGAGCATGTTCACTGGCTTTTTGGCAAGCCCCGCTGTTGGCTGTCATCGCTGCGGAAGCACCTGCTGAGCTGCCGCTGTGGGCAGCCCAGGGGTCCGTGTCAGAGGTGGGCCAAGTTCCCTGACCTCCAGTAATGCATCCTCTTCTCCTACGGGAACCACCTCATCCCAAATGATACTCTAGAAAACTGTGGTTTCTTTCTTTTTTTAATATTACGACTGGTGATCTTTTCACTCTTCACCGTATATCCAACCTCCCCATCGTCAGAAATTCATTTAGGGGTAAGACCTCCTTGCCATAGAACCTCCTTCCCCTAGAAGTGGCATCGTCATTCAGCTGAAGTCTCCTTATAAGCATCTGGGGTCATGGGCCTTTGGAGAATCTATGAATACTGTGACTATGGATCCATTCCTTAGAAAAATGCCATATACCCAAAATGTGGCATGCGATTCCATATGGTTCCTGGACTTCATTGACACTCCAAAGCTGCTACCACCAACTTTTTGAACTTATCTTTATGGAGAGGGTACTAAATGCTGGACTGGGTTTTCTGAGCTGAGTAACCAGCTCTGGAGGATGGATTGGTCTCCCCAGGGCAGGAGGTGGAGCAGAAATGGTCACAAAACAGTGAGAGTTTATTACATAGCGGTGAATCAAGAATCATTTCCAATAGTCATCCACAGAGACAGTTAGCATTCCCTTAGTCAGTACTTTATTTCATTTCCCCATATGTAAGTCATTGGCAAAAATCGAATATGTATCAATTAATGTAATCATACAACCCATAAATACATGCCGAGTTTCTCCTACATGCTGAACCCTGTGCTGAGTATTTTGTACCCAGAAGTACAAAATGAAAGTGATACAGTCTTTGCCCCCCAGGTAAATAGAGGAACAGGTGAGCTCCAAGGCCATAGAAGCAATCACGGAAGTAAAATAGTCTACCTTCGGCACCCTCATCCCCAAATCTCTTCCACCCCAGTACCCGGCATTCCAGAGAGGGGCAGAAGCCTACTTGTATCTGACTGCTCGGGTAACAAACCATATAACAGTGGCTTTCTTCTGACCATTCTCAGAAGGTCAGGGACATACCTCCGGATCTGTTTGCCGTGATGCTTACTCCTTCCCTCATCCCCAGCCAGAAGAAAAGCTGTTGCTGCTTGACATTTTATATAGAAACACCCGAGAACACGTAGTTTCCACTCCGGGCAGAGGTCTGGCAATGCTACCTAGCTGACTCTTCTCACGGGCTCTGCTATGTGTGCCCTTAAGCTCACACATTTGGCCTTTCATGCTTAACCTTTCTGGGTCAGTCCTGACAAAAGTGCATAGTGTTAGGAATTTTCAACAAATGAATTTTAAGCCTGATCACCTCTCCACAAGCTGCTGGAATCCAGTGCTAAATCAGCCCCATATAGAGCACAGAATTCTCCTTCCCAGATTTCAGAGGCCAGATGCTGACTTTTGTCTGTGCTTTACTGGTCAAAGCTGGGCCTTGGGTTTGTTCTAGGCTAAGTGGCATCATGGGAGTGTGAAGCCGTCAGCCCTGCAAGGTGATCCTCCATCTCTGACATTTGGTTTGGAGCAGCATGGCTGACCGACAAATAATTATCCGTGGGAATAGTGAGGTCTTCCCCTGGGAGCCTTTGGGAGTTATTAATGAGAAATTAGCCTGAGGTTGATGAGCCACTGCCTTCCTAGATTGATTTCACTGAGCCATGAGGTGTGAATTTATGAGCCAGACTCCCTGCCGATCATGCCTGGTCCTGGGTTTGCTGCCCTGGCCCTTCTGTCCCAAGGATCCCCAAGACCCCCAGATAAAAGCGTTCACCGGAGCACTGCCTAACGGGCAGACTGGGGAGGCTTCGGGTGTTTGCATGCTGCACCTTTGATGCCATTGTTGTGAAGAGAAGTTCTCTTATATCTGAACTACATGACTAACCAGAAACTCTCCTTCCCTTCTCCTCTGTCTTCTTTTCCTGGCCACAAGCGTCCATTGTGACTGTCATTCAGCTTGTCAACAATGTAGTTGACACTATAGAGAATGAAGGTATTTACTTTTTTCTTCCATAACATTTCTTTGTGTAAAGAGTTATCTTTTTGGAAATATGGCTTCTGTGTTACTTGATCTGGGGTTGCTTTCAATCAGCTAGTAACCTAGGGGACACCAGCTGTTTCTCTAGGGGTTGGAGTGAATTTTACAATTTTAAAGGGAAAAAAACCCTACTTCATAAGTTGTTAAATAGATGGGGTACTCTTTTTTATAAAAGCCCTTCTAAGACAAGAGTTCCCAATCAGTTGGAATCCAGATTACTACTAAATTTGTTCTTATATTCAACATACTTAAGAAAGCATTCAAAGCTATACTCTTATGGAGATTGATTTTAATCAGGTAACTTTTATTAGTGTCTCAATACAATTAGGACCAAGTATAGATGGGATTTATCTTTTTATTTCCCAAAGAACAAGGAGGAGAAACAGGAGCAGGTGTTTTTAAGTTATCTAAAATATTCTGTTTTACCCTCTTCGCATGGCTTAGATTATCAGGTTTACCTCTCACTTTGTATTTAAACAGTGTCTATCATGGACCAAGGACAGAACTACAACCGAGGTGACTCTGCCTTAACCCCAGGATAACATTTTTCTTCCACGTTTTGAATTGCTGAGTTCGTTCTTACCCTGTCCCTCTCCCTCCGTCCTTTCTGGGTTTCTTTGATCTGCATTTTGCATGTTCCAGGTGTCTTGTGTGCTTGGCATTGGAAGCGAAAGTCCCCCCAGCATCCCTCCCCCAGCCTCCCCACCCCTCATCCATTTGCAGCGCGTCCTCCTACCATCCGGGGACCACAGTACGGCCCATACCCCGCCCTCTCTCTGGGAGCATGTTGCCAGCCTGGCTCTGCATTTAGTGTATAGAAAGGAAGAAGGACTGGCGGGGAGGGGCTGCTGGAACTGGGTTTACCCCGCATGCCCTGTGGCATGGCTGAGTGTGAGGCTCTGCAGCAACCGGGCACCCTCTCTCAGAGTCGCCATCACCTCATTTTCCCGGGGGCCAGAGCATGGCTGGTCCCTGAGGGAGCCCTGTAAGGAGCATGCACATGACCCCGGCATCTTAGGGTCTCGGATGTTAATTGCATGTCAGGTCGCCCCCCCCCCCCCATCCGCTCCTTTTCTAAGCCCTGCCCCAGCTCCAGTCTGGAGGAAATTGACTGTCACGGCTTTTCTCCCACAGCCTATCACTGGGACACCTCCGACTGGATGCCCGGGGCCCGGCTGTCGGACATAGAGGAAGTGCCCAACTATGAGAACCAGGAGGGAGGGTCTGCACACCAGGGCAGCACGCGGGAGCTGGAGAGCGATTACTACCTGGGCGGCTATGACATCGACAGCGAGTACCCACCCCCCCATGAAGAGGAGTTCCTGAACCAGGACCAGCTGCCCCCTCCCCTGCCAGAGGACTTCCCAGACCAGTACGAGGCCCTGCCGCCCTCCCAGCCTGTGTCGCTGGCCAGCACGCTGAGCCCCGACTGCAGGAGAAGGCCCCAGTTCCACCCCAGCCAGTACCTTCCTCCCCACCCATTCCCCAACGACACGGATTTGGCGGGCCCGCCTGCCGCCTGTGAATTTAGTACTTTTGCCGTGAGCATGAACCAGGGCGCAGAGACGGCAGGCCCCGCCGACAGCGTGTCTCTCTCCTTGCACAATTCCAGAGGCACCTCGTCCTCGGATGTGTCCGCCAGCTGCGGCTTTGACGATTCCGAAGCAGCCGTGAGTGACTACGAGAGCGTGGGAGAGCTCAGCCTCGCCAGCCTGCACATTCCCTTCATCGAGACTCAGCACCAGACCCAGGTGTAGACGGCACATCTGCCTGGGCCCTTGGCGCTGTCCGTGGCTGAACCACGGGAAGGAGGCTGGCGGGGTTCGTGCGTCTGCACGGCCAGTGGCCCGAAGGAAACATGGACTTGCCCCCCGGGAACTTCTTCACAAGTCCTGCTGTCGTGGGCAAGCTCCTGTTGCGCTGGGTGCAAAGGAAAGGCTCCGACTGTTTCTTAGCGGTGACGGGCCGATAGCCTTGCAGTAGGTATCTGCGTTCACGACCAAGACGGGGCACCGACTTTCTATAGGGAGAATAAACTCCACCTGCTAGGTTATACAGCCCATCCTGTATGGCTTTGTGCAGTATCGGGACCCGGGAAGGGTTACAGCGGCCAAGGAGGCAGTATTAATAACTGGCAACGAGCCAAGAGGCATTGTTGCATGTCATTTTGAGCCAAGGAGGGGGAGGGGATGAAAATAGTAGTTACGATGGTTGGGAAGGTTAGTCTCTTAGGCAAAAGAAAAGAGAAACAAATATTACTAAAAAAAAAAAAAAAAAA